ATATGTAATGACAATATTTTGATAATTGAATGAATTTGATGTTTTAAATTGATGGACAAGTTTTGTATAAAATATAGAGGAAATACTGTATTTTTGTTTAATTTTTTTTCTAAAAGTTAATAAAAATCACCAACGATAGTAACTACCAACAGTCAGTGATTTGTTGGTGTATTTTCATCGGTGATTCGTCGATGTTACTAACTGTTGGTGATCCATCGGTGATTGAGCACGGTTGATGATCCGTCAGTGATCTACTCCAAATCAGTGAAAACATTACTCAGCTATTTGGTCGACGGCTATCACCAATGGATCACCGAAGAAGTTCATCATTTTCTATTAAATACCAACTGTTTGATTCATCGTTGAAAATATCCAGAATTGTTGTGTATTTTAACCATTTCTACGCAGGGTCAACCCTGGCTATAGGCCCAAGGGGTGACGGCCCAGGGCAGTAAACAACCCAAAGGACATCATTTTGTAAAGCCCAATATATATATGTAGGTTTAATTTGGGTTGGGCCTTGAAAAATTATGTTTATCTCGTATCCGACTATCTCTAATCTCTCTCGACTCTCGCCTCGGCCTTGCTCGCTTGACGCATCAGTCATCACGCATGATTCACAAACTCTCGACTCTCGCTCTCTCTCGACCAGTCGATCGCTCACTCTCAATCGCTCGCCACCGCCAGTCGGCCTCTCGGCTCCCGCTCTCGACCGCTCATTCGCTCAAAATCTCAATCAATTGGAAGTTTGGAACTGTGCAGTGACACTGGAATTGGAATTTTGAGGTTAGGGTTATTTACTTATTTTATGTTTCTATTTTCTAATATAGGATTATTACTTATTAGGGTTCTTTTATTATTTCTAATTCTTGTTTGATTCGATTTTGATCACTTTTTGTTTTGTTTGTGGTCTTAAATCCTAAGTCCTAGTCCTAACATATCTATATTGGGTTTGGGTCTATTCGATGAATATGATTGGGGATTGCAAAGGTTGTAACTTGTAAATGATTTATGAACATAAAGCTGGAAAAGAAGCTTTTTCGTGGGGCTGTTTAGAAGCTTGTTTGGAGGCTGTTTTGGGGCTGTTTAGAAGCTTGTTTTGGGGCTGTCTAGAAGCTTGGCTGTTTTAAGCTGTTTAAAAACTGTTTAGGAGGTTGTTTTGGGGTTGTTTAGGAGGTTGTTTTGGGGGCAATCTTGAGTATTGAGAGTAAGTTTTTAGTTAATATTAGTTATGACAAAGTGATAGATATTTTTGCTTCAAAAAACGCAAGAAGGCATCGTTTTAGGTGAATGGTGATGTATTTTATATTTTGTTATACGGGGTATTGGTTTATATCCCCACGTTGCACCATTTTTGTTATATTTAAAACAAATCGGCATGAGGATGAGCCGCCTAGATTGGCTAAGTCCCAAACCTCTCCCAATAGTTTATTTTGGTTTTTATATTATGTATAAGGTACATTTTTTTGACTTTCTGCCATGGGCATCCAAAATCTCAGAACCAACCTGTTTCTACGCAAAAGTGTTTGCGGTTGGGTCGATTTTTCTTCCTTTCACTTGCTCGGTTGATTGTTTTTCGAACTTTGGAGGTTTTTCGTCTGTGTTATTGGCTTGGTTGGTTGTTCTTTGTTCCGGTAATAACAATTTTGGTATTTAAAAAATTAAAGATAAATAAAATAAAATAACTGTTGATGTATGTATGGGATGTGGTCCGGATATAATATCAATAGTCAGTAGACATATTTCACAATCGCATGCAATTCTTGTATGCCATTTTGGGCGCATCCATCATCGCTTTACATTGCGGCTTGGCTTCGCTTGCGTTCAAATGGTTTTTTATTGTAAGGTGAATACTCTATATTATCTTATAAATCAGATTTATCAAAAATCTTAAAAACGATTTTTAATATATAAAGGATTATACATTTATATATAAAGTCTTAAAAGTTTTAAAAACAACTCATAAGTACTACTATTTTATGCATTCAATCTTAAAATCTCTTAATCTACAATTAAAATAACATATGGTATAAGTTATCAATGCATATTATTACCTTTTCTTTTCATGTTCCCAAGATACTTTTGACATATTTCACTCGTGTCTTCACCCTCTCATACCTCTATGTCTTCAGTCTTCTCCTCATCCCCCAAGGTGAGATTTAAACTGATTTTCACCATGAGTTATTAAAAGTTCTCTCATTCCTCTCCATTCAATTGCTCTAGAACTCTCGGTCTTGCTCTCAATCTCTTGATTTTTTGCTCTTGGTGTAAATCGAACGTATTTGTGAAGTCGTTTAAATATGTTGGATTTTAAATATATTAGATTTTAAATTTTCATATATTTTTTTTCATCGATAGACTGCAATTGAAATCATAACTCTTATTTATTTAAATTGTATTAATATGTAAAGACCAAGTGTAACTTATATCATCATTAAATTAAATCTTCTCTAATAAAACCAATGAAACCTCAAAATCGTTAAAATTCACGGCTCCCGTCGCATTGCATGAGTACACAACTAGTCTTATTTAAAAGTATGGTTTTTTTTATGTAGAAGAAAGATGTATGAATTTGAATTTAATAAAATTTCATTTCATTTAATTCTTATTTATTATGACGACTAATTTTTGGATTTTCGTTTAGTGTACATAACAGACGTTTAGTTATTTAATATTTCATGGTAAAAATTGCCTTATGACTAAATATGAATTACGACAAACTTTAGTATATCTTGATACATTTGTTTACATGATCTAAATATTAAAGAATCCTTGACAACCGTTTCTATTTATAGTTTGTTCTGACCTTTTTTTTACAGGCTTTGAACTTTACCTCTGTACGCGTGGTTTAAAACATAAACCTAATGACTTGACCTATGCCAAATATGTTTAAGAAGTGCCATTAGAACTTTTTCATTTTAAATGATTAAATCTCTGAATTTATTATTTAAATAAAGAAATCATTGAGCTTTTTCAATTTGGATGATTAAGTTGTTGGACATTTTTTTTTGAATAAATAAATGATTCAACTTTTAGAAATTGGTTATATAAATTCATTTAGCCGAAAAAATTATCTGTAACTGATTTTGAAAGTTTCAAAGTAAAAAAAACCTAAATTTGTTTTACCATTCCCAATCTTTCGTCATTCAAACCCCTCGTATCGAACGTCATCACTTTCCCTCGCCACCTCACACTGCACATGGTCGTCTGTTCTCCCTACCTTCCAGCGCCGTTGTTGGTCCCTACCATCAATCTCCTTTTTCATCTGATTTTTTGTTTTTCAATTCTCCCTTTTTTATAACAATGTAACAGCGTACACATAGACAACTAAAAAATGAGGGAAATTCCAAATTTTTTTTGATCAAAATAGGGAGATTGATGGTAGGGGTCAACAACATTGATAGAGAGCAAACGACGATATGGGTGTAAGGAGGAGTGATCAGGTTGCGTGCAAGGGGTATGAATGATGCAATCTGGGAACAATAAAAATGAATTAGGTTTTTTACTTTAAAGCCTTCTTAGCCAATGACTATTTTTTTGTTAAAATAATGTAGGTAATCAAATTTTAAAATTTCAATTGATTTAATTATTAAAAAAAGTCTAATGCTTTAATCATTCAAAATAAGAAAGTTTAACGGTTTTTCCATTCAAATTTTTTCTAAGGACTTAAGTCATTCAAAATGAGAAAGTTCGCTAGATTTTCCCTTTATTTAATAGTGTTCATTAGTTCGTTTTATAAAGTTAAAACATGGAGTTTTAAGAAATTATGAATTAAAAAAACAATAACATATGTTTAGTAAATCATTTTATTAAATGATTTATAACAAAAGGGGTTGCTATTCATACACATCCTTACTCACATACTACCTCGTATCCCTACCTCACTTACATACCTTCTATAGAAGGGGGTATGGATAAAATTCACGAACCTTATCTAATTGATGTCGTTTGCATTTTATATCTGGACCAAAAAACAACCATGGCCCATTGGGTTAGATTGGAAAGATGGGTTGGAAGATTTGTTGGCCCATGGATGGTATTGGCATTGGCGTTGGCAATAAGCTGTGTGGACCAGGGAATTACATTATTCTCAGTTTTCGGACAACACCATGACAAAGTAGAACAAGTTTAACCACCTTGGTAGGAAACTAGGAATTGGAATCGGAATTGGAATTGAATTCTCTTCATGGAATTGGTATAATGTAGTTCTGAAATTAAAATGAAATAATAATTAAAGGATCAAAATACCTATTTATGACGTTTTCTTACTTTTTTGCTTACATTATAAATACTATATAACAATAACAGTAGTGGTGGCGACCATGGTGATGGTGGTGGATGTGGCAGCAACGATGGTGGTGGTTAGTGGTCTTGGTCATGTTTATATAGCAGGTTAAGGGGCTATATAGTTGTTTTTTAATCAAATCCTGTATGACTATATGGATAAAGTTGTCTATATAAATAAATAAAAATGTCGTTTAACTAAATTGTTTGAATCATAAAAATAACTATTTACTTTCATAAACCAAGCAAGGAATTTGATAAAATTAACCATCAAACAAAATTCCATAATAATAATAAGGCTGGTGTTTGATTGGTTTGAGCTTGACTCCAAAGGTCAAAAGTACTAGGAGGTCTTAGGTTCAAATCCAAGAAGGAATAAAAATCCCCTTGTGGCCACGGAGGTTCAAATGCGATGACTCCGGGCTATCTGCCAAGCAAGTGGTTGTTCTGAGATTAGTTGGCTCGTTTAGCGGGTTGGATATCCAGGTTAAAAAAAAAATAGTAATAGCAATCTTTTTAGGGCCTTAAACTGTTGACTTTGTAATATCAGTTTCAAAGTTAGATGGATTGGTTTGTTTGGTGGGAAGGACCCATCAGATGTGGTGCTTGTGCTCTTAACATGCCACCCATCATTGCGACTTACCATCACGCAATTGTCACTTCACATCATATTTATAACTTGTAATGGTGTAGGAATGTAAAATGTTGCATAATAACTCACCTCATATGTACATATATTTAATACAATAAGTAGGAATAATATCATTCATGAATTACCCCAATCGTAGCAACGCCATTAATAACACTTCAAAAACGTCAAGTGAAACGGAATCCGTCACCAAATCATACTCGCTTTACTCCCTGACCGTCGAAATGATTTAAAACTGGTACAATATATCGCGCAAGTCACACGATTTGACCATTCCAACAATCGGAGGAATGTAAACTGCATGTTGACCATTTATCTAACTAGCGATCGTCTCGCCATCTTTACAACTCCTAACCCGTACTTGCATACTATTATACTTCCACCCCCTGATCTCACAGCATTGTCTCCTTGCCCCCTGCATAACAAATCACATTTCAAAATCATTCTATTCCGTTTCCAAATTCGTTAATTTTTTAACATCCATGTAAATCTTTACCTCCGTCCAATAATTAGGGTTCATCTTCGATGCCAACACTACAACCGTGTCAATCGTGTGAGGATAATCTCCTTTTTTGCATTTCTTGGCCGATTCATCTCTTACATACGTGGTCACCGTGTCGTTTCCAGCATCTTGAACCTCGCTAATGTAGTAAATTGCAGGGAGTTCACACGGGTTGGCGTTCAAAGGTCGGGTATTGAACGTGAACGGCCCGTCCTTAAAGCTCCGCCACGTGAGGAAAGTCTGCAACGGCATCTCTAGCTCCTGAGCGGTCAATAGGGACGGGTATATCTGAACTGTGTAACCCCATGAGACGGATATGGACCATCGGTGCCACCACGTGTTGTAGTAGCAAAACGACTGTTGCATGGCTCGAGGTGGGTCGAGCCGGTAGGTCTGGATGAGGGTGTTCAATGACTCGTACTTAGTGTGGTTCGGTAGCAATGGCTTCACGTAGTCAAGGTGGTGGAGTGACACTAATGGAGTCATCGGGTGGGCTGCTAGTAAACCATAAGCATCTCCCCTAACATCCAACTGTGGTGTGGACAAGGGTATAATAATCGTCATTTCAAACAAATACAATAAAATAAAAGCAGGTGGAAAAAGCATGTGGGCGTATGAGGACACGTGTAGGCAAAAATGTACGATGAAGAGTACCTAGGACAACTTTAATTATGTTACGTGCCCCAAAGCAGTTGGATCCACGTTGCATTTCAATTTACGAATTCATTACCCAACACCAAAAGTTAAAACTATTTTCACGTTAATTAATACTAATAATTAAATAAGAAACTTTTATCCGAATTGTATTTAAGATTAAAAATAATTAAAAATTTAAATAAAAATGGCAAAAATTCCTTCATGAGTAAGGTAAGGTCCGACAGGAAGGACACGTGTATGCTTTTTTTACGCTTGGGGACACGTCAACTTTTTATGTTTTTTGTCTTTTTGACTTCACCCACAAAGTAAATATACATATTTTTTATAAAATGTGATATGTTATTTAATGATGACTCGAGTGCAGGTAAGCAAAATTACGAAAACAACCTCGAGTTTACCTGGTGGAACCCACGTTCTTTAGTGAGGGTAACGCCAATTTCGGTCACACAGGCCCACACCCTTTGATCCGACCCGTAGAAGTAACGGTACCGATCAAGACACCCGTCAAAGATCCGAGCCAGCTCCTCCGCCAACGGGTAACTCACGGCGAATCCGCCACCGCCAAATGCCATGTCGTACGAGTGCATCACGTTCTGCTCCACGCTCTCTGAACTCCCCCCAACGTAATACATCTGCCGGTGGTCGTACTTGGATAAAACCGATACTAAATTATCGGCAAAAAACACCGTGTCATCGTCCCCCATCACGAACCATCTAACATCCGGTAACCGGAGCTTGAACGACTCCATCACAATCCGGGATATCCTAACCGCTGGGCTGGACCCGGCGTTCTTCAACCCGGTCAAGGCTTCCGAGACCTTGTATGGAGGAGAGTTACAAGTGGAGAAGAGTTCCGGGTCGGGTTCTTCGTCTAACCAAACGTACCCACGTGTTCGGTTGGGTTGCCACCAAAGCTCCGTGTAGTGCCGACGGTCCCTCCACATGCGAACCGACCCACCAATACCAAAAAGCAGGTGCGAGATTCCGGTAGGAGGTTCTGATACCCCGGGAGAAGAATCCGGTACTTGGGTTATAGGAGGGAGGAGGCAACCGGGAGCGGCGGACCACCGCGACGGCGGACTGCGGAAGGCGGAGAGGGAAACGAAGGAAATCGAAGCAACCACGAAAACCACAAGTGTTACCTTTAACGATGCGTTTATGGCTTCATTGTTCTTGTAATGGAAGACGTTTGTGATTTCTCGAACATGGGTCATAATCTCGTCTTCGTACAATCGAAAGAAGCAACTCCAATTGTTTGAGATTTTGGTATCTCGTTAGTAACGAGAAGGGGATTTTGTACGAAGCGAACCAAGAACAGAAATCGTCTGGAAGAACAGGAAAATCTTACAAATGGGAAGCGGATGGTGATGGTGGACACGTGTCTTTGCCTGAATGATTTGGAGTAGGTTATCAGACGGCAACCACTTTTTAAGACCTCAAATCCTTTTAAAACAATTGACATATTTTGTCAAATTGCTTCACATGTTACCTAAATTTACGAAAATACAAATATTTGATCAATAACCAAGGGGTGTGTGTCACCTATAAAACATTTTTCAACTTATTATAAGTCAGAAATATTTGACTTCTTCACAAATTTATTATATGTTATTTATTCAAATATTTAAAAGTACTTATTACCAGTGTTATATCGAAATAAATCAATAAATTATTTTTATAAGCAATCCCAAACACCTCTTAAATGACTATATAAACCTATGTCGATATTTTTTCAAAATATGAATCTAATAAAATCATGTTCGTTTTGTGCATCTAAATCATTCTAAACAAGTAAGAATATATTCGGGTTTTTTTTAACATAAATTATATTCCATTTTTACAAAAACTTTAAGATCTAAATTTATAAACGTAATTAATGATGATTAAAATTCAAATATTGATTTGTTTTAAAAATAAATGTAATATTGTTTTTTTTAACTTTTTATTTATTATTTTATTAAAGAAAGAGGTATACATATTAAGCGTTTTGTCTTTTTAGGGTATAAGAGCTTATATGCCATTATTATCTTCAGATTGAGAAGCGTGCCATGGGGCAAGTTTTTCGTTCCATTGCAACGACTTCAAACATTCTAGATCTGTCAATCGCTCAACCTAATCTCTCGGTTGATCCCTTCTGCCTTATCTCACCGTATAACCTAGTCGCTTTGTGTTTCATGATTATCTCTTAATCGTTCAATCAACCTAAATAACTCAATTACTTGGTTCTTTTTCTTCGATTTCACAAAAAACACAATCATTTAAGGTATGTTTTAATATACATTTTTTCTTTTCTGTATATCGAATCATGTTTCTCTATTTCTTACTTTATGGTGTACCTCTAGAACGCTGCCAGTGAATAGAATTTAGATCTTTATTTTCTGAGTTATAATTTCATATGATATTTGTAGATATTGGATTATAGTTGTTGGTGTACAAGCATGTTAGTTGATGCTCCACAACTGCCACCTAATGCCAATTTGTACTTTTGTAGCATATAGATTTTTTATGGTTTATTGGTAATTGTTTAATTTTGAATAACGTTGAGGTTGAGTTAATTATTCTATTATAAGCACGTTATTTGAATCTTGTTCTTGGATTATACTTTCATCTAACTTGTGTACCTTCAACTTGGCATTCTTAATAGTTTTGTCATTGAGTTGGGAAGAGAACCACACATTGAGTTATCCCGACAATCTATTTTGTACTTGGATTTGTCTGATGACGATTTTTTTGTACACGTTAATTAGTGTAACCAACAACAATACGGTTGGGAGTGTGGCCACTAGGTATAGTGAAGCAAATCTTCCATTTTGTGATGAACGAACAATACGTTTCCCTTTCGGGGTACGTATTTGTGAAGATTCTTTCGTTTTATTTATATATTGCACAAAGCACTTTATTTTGTTAGAATAACCGTTGCTACTTTCAAATTTATATATAGGACACGTGGACGCCAACGACCTCTTTCACAATTACACAAGAAGAGAACGTTTACTGTGAAACGCATGGCAGATGGCAGGATGTGGTAATGTAGGAAGGATTGGTTTAAGGTACAAGTGTTAAAGACTTTTTGCAAAAATATTGGCCATTAAATTTTTCTATGTATTTTTGTCGATGTTCTTTACAGTTTAATGGTTACATTGAAATGTTGCATTACAACCACAAGGATGATGTCTGATTGGTTTGAGCTTGACTCCAAAAGTCAAAAGTACCAGGAGGTCCCAGGTTCAAATCCAAGGAGAAATAGAAATCCCCTTGTGGCCCTGGAGGTTCAAATGCGGTGACTCCAGGCTATTTGCAAAGCAGGTGGTCGGCCTAGGATTAGTCGGCTCGCATAGCGGGTTGAATATCCAGGTTAATAAAAAAAATGTTCCATTACATGTGTCGATTTTGTTTTTGAATGAAGTAGGAATGTTTATTGTCTTCTAGGTTGTCTTTTTCTTTCTTTATATATGGGGGAGGGGGTTGGTAATCTGCCAATGTCAACACACGTCATTGCCGCTCCCAAGCCAGACCCTATTGTAAATGGGGGGTATAGGTTTATTCGTATTAATTTGGAATAATGGATGGTTACAAAATCGAAAAAAAAACATTTACTTTTTTTTACAATCGTACGCAGTTCTAAGTAAAAAACTTGTGTATGATTTAATACATTTGTACACGGTTCTATAAACGTAAACCGTTTATAAATCCATACATTTATCCAGATTAGTTGGATAATTATATCAACCATCTGTGCAGACATTAGACAAATATTAAGCAGCAGAACTACACATTGCATAATGCACCAAGGTTATATGGACTCCTTTGTAATTGAGGATCACATTACAAGCCTTTGTCAAATTGAACGCATTGAAAATCTCTTTTTGATAAACAATAAGCTATAAGAAGGTCCAGATTCTTACTTACATGAAATACCTTAATGTGCATGATTTGATCTATTCATGATCTCTTTAGTAAATCAAATCTAGATATTAATGAAAATGAAATAGATGATGTGGTTGTTTGTTTAACTCTTAATAGTTCTATTAAGAGACAACATCTGAATTGTTAAGAGGTGAATTCTGTTTGGTTAAAAAAAGTATGTCTCTTAATGGTTATAAAACCCTCTGAATGATTTTGTATCATGGATCTTTCTTAACCATTAAGAGGCATGATTTCATTGTACACAATTACCAAACAATTATATTTCATTTTACACTATATTATGAGAGCCTCTTAATCATTCTGACCACTTAATCATTACGCATCAAACCATTCAGTAATTGCCAAACAGCCCCGATATCCAATAGTTGTTTGTTGTTGGTACAAACCATGGATTTCGTATATATAATTGTGATCCTTTTAAAGAATATTTCGGATGTGATGTTAAAAGTGTTTTTGTATCAGTTGGCAAACTTTAATAGGATTTGAATGTAAATAAAGATTGATTTCAGTTGTTATATATGGAACTTCATTTTCGTTCATATCTTCTATTTGTGTTTGGATCAATCGATGTATTTTGGTAGGATTTAAATGTACATAAAATTGAAGATGGTATAATTTGATTAAAATGAATTGCTAGTTTATAATTTAAATGTAAATTTCGTGACGATAATAAATAAATAGATAAAACAGTATAGATGTATATAAACAACATTACGATTTTCTGAAGGGTAAAATAAACAACCACCACTTATTAATCAAAAGTGAATTAAGAATTCATATTTCAGCACATCTTTAAAAACAAATTAACGCCAAATGAAATTTATGTCTAATAACGATCATTGAAGAAAAATAGACATATAACGTGAAATCTGATCAAAAAGAACTTTTTGGTAGTCATTGATTTCCATACCTAATATGGATAATTAAATTCATTTTTCTTTATTACGTTTTGATAAAAATCAAATTTCTATCCATTATAAATTTAAATGGTCCCAAAACACATAATCATAAGAAGACAACATACAGTAATGAAATTATATTGATATTGTTTTCACAACTTGAAACTTATTGAAAACTACATAATCAAGATTGGTATTACTTGAAACCTAACTCGTAAACCACGTTGAAAATGTAGTTAAATCTTAAACTTAGACCTTACAAGCAACTAATTCATCCAACTATGAGATAGATAAATGTGTGAATTTTGTGACAAACCAGTGCAACCCATCTTTTGACAAAGAATCTTTCATTGAGCCACGAGTTGAATAGACGTTCAGTTTAAGAACTTGATCCAATAGGGTATTAACATCAACTTGAACAACCAAAGCAAACACCTTTGACATTGATAACTGGAGAATAGAATCATGATTAAGAACATGTCTTCAAGAACAGTAGGTCAACCAGAAAAGATAAGTCGATCTCCTTTTCAGCAGACTGAATAATCAAAATTAGATCCAAAATTCTCAACAAGAAGAGTGATTATTAGCACTCAAAACTCTATATCACAACCATAACTTTAGAGCAATGATTGTAGACTTTCAAACCTTTAATTGATGAGGTTAGAAGAAAGACTGAGAACACTCAAAGATTTAATTAATCCAGAACTTTCAGAAAATCAATTGCACACTTTCAAGACCTCTGATTGGTCAATTCAAAAGAAATGAGTGAAAGCACTCAATGGTCTAGCCTCTTGTGTAAAACTCCAAAGTGACTAGTCCAATCAAATGCCAAAATCAATCAAACAGTTCTGAAATCCTTTCAAATCTGGCTTTAATCATTAACCTCAAACATTGACAATAATGTTGTTGATGCTTCTCAGGCCAGAACTTCATGAAATATCATCTTATTCATTAAACACAGTTGATTTTAGGCAAAGAATTCTTTAAGCGCACACAGATCCACAATGAGAGACGATGAACAAGTACTCATGAAATAGGCGATAAACATAGATTTGGCAACAAATCGCCCATGCCTTAGGTGGAGAGCACCATGAACATCTGTATATATATTGCTCACGCTTTAGGCGATGAGAATAGATTTGACAGTATCAAAGACCAAAAGTTCGACTGAATCCAAAAAATTAATCAAATAAACTTAGTTTTGATGATCAAACCAGGTTCAAATTCACCTAAAAGCAAATCCTTTAAAATGAATTTGATTAAAGCATAAGAATATGGTGAATCGATCAATTTTTGGTCAAAAAATAATTCGAACAGGAAAGAGTTCATGGATGAGTACAGTTCTATGAAAAACCTAAAAAAATCTTGAATCTGCTGCCGATAGATAGACCGTATCTATAAAGGTTAATTAATTCAGCTCTAATCAATGATAAACAAGAGATTGTAGAAGACGATGAATA